ATGAGGAAATTAGAAGAAAATTCTCTGACATTGCTACAAAACTATGTTGCCCTAAGGAGTTTGTGCAGACTGTTTTGTTGGCAGCTAGAAAATCTTATCATAGGACTGAACCTAGAATAACTTCTCATAACAAGAATGTGCTTTCTCTACCATACAGTGAGAATTTATCAGTTTTGCCCTAAAGAGACTCAATATACAAGTTGTTTTTAAGAATTCACAGACTGTTAAGAGTATGTTGATCAAGAATTCTCCGAAACATGGTGTAGGTGTCATGTACAGGATTGGGGACCATGGCTGCAACCTTTCCTATGTCGGGCAGACGGGCAAACCTTTAAATATTAGAATTACACAACAGCAGTATTCAGTAAGGATAGCCCAATAATCTAGTTCAGTATTCAACCACACACCAGCTTGTAACGATCCGACTAAGTGGGCTGAGGCAAAGGTCATTGTCCCATGAACTTCATGGCTAAAAATAAATATTCATGAATCTGTAATTATTAAACACAAACTTTCGTTATTTAATGGTAGTTGTGGGTTATTCATTTTCGATTCGTTTATAATTGAGGCTATCATGCACAATCTATAACCTGGTTCTTATATAAATGCCCTAGATTGTCTTAAGTGTCAGGGTTCCAAGAATAGGCATTAGGGCAGGGGGCTGTTGTTCGTGGTGAGGCTCGACCTGTGTCTACCCACTAGGTGAGTTTGCCCTAGATTTCGTTTTCCTTAATTATTGTAAAATTTTCCCCTAAGACATGCCAGACACCGCTTTATTCAGAAGTCCGACTGATAATCTTTATAACCATTATGTTACCAATATTAATTTTGCTAGTTAATCACTAAATTACCTTTGCTTGTGGGCTGGCTTTTCTCTGTTCCTATAATACTTAATGTCTCTGGCACTAGGCACTTGTGCCTGGGTTAGTGAATGTTTTCCCTCCATCACCCTCAGTCTTAGGAAGTCGTCCCTCGGAACGAATTTACTGAGACTTCTTTGCAAGCTCCTGATGATGTGTTGACTGCACCACGAAAGGCCTCCCCCTGTGGTTGTTTTGCAATACATGGAGTATAAGACTAGGAGGAGGGAATATAAAGGAGATAGTTATTTTCAGATATTTGACAGTGGATATATTAGCAGATTGACCTATGAATGAAGGGCTCTGGTGGCCTAGTGGTTGAAGCTCTCGCTTCACACGGCGAGGGTCTGGATTCGTTTCCCAGCCAGGGTAGAAACATTGGGCATGTTTCTGTACACCTGTTGTCTATGTTCACCCATCAGTAAGATGGGTACCTGGAACACTGATCTAATATGCCCCGAAATGCTCAGCATTAAAAGTGGCTTTCTATATAGCAGTATGTCTATATAGCAGTATGTCTATATAGCAGTATGTCAGCTAGGCCTGCATACCATGTACATGTACTTGTGGTAAATAAAGATATTATTATTATTATAAGGGGAGTCACATAATACATGAGTCGTAAAAGTGGGTGGTGTGCTGAAGTATCTGTTGAAAGGAAAAACTTTTCCTACAGAAGGAAAAAACAGAATTTATCAAAGTATAAAAGTTTTACCAGCTCTTTTGCATTGATGCAGCGAGAAGGAGGGTAGAGGCAGTGAAGACGTCATGTATGAGAGCTATGTAGAGGCATTGAAGACGTCATGTATGAGAGCTATGTAGAGGCAGTGAAGACGTCATGTATGAGAGCTATGTAGAGGCAGCGAAGACGTCATGTATGAGAGCTATGTAGAGGCAGTGAAGACGTCATGTATGAGAGCTATGTAGAGGCAGTGAAGACGTCATGTATGAGAGCTATGTAGAGGCAGCGAAGACGTCATGTATGAGAGCTATGTAGAGGCAGTGAAGACGTCATGTATGAGAGCTATGTAGAGGCAGTGAAGACGTCATGTATGAGAGCTATGTAGAGGCAGTGAAGACGTCATGTATGAGAGCTATGTAGAGGCAGTGAAGACGTCATGTATGAGAGCTATGCAGAGGCAGTGAAGACGTCATGTATGAGAGCTATGTAGAGGCAGTGAAGACGTCATGTATGAGAGCTATGTAGAGGCAGCGAAGACGTCATGTATGAGAGCTATGTAGAGGCAGTGAAGACGTCATGTATGAGAGCTATGTAGAGGCAGTGAAGACGTCATGTATGAGAGCTATGTAGAGGCAGTGAAGACGTCATGTATGAGAGCTATGTAGAGGCAGTGAAGACGTCATGTATGAGAGCTGTGTAGAGGCAGTGAAGACGTCATGTATGAGAGCTATGTAGAGGCAGTGAAGACGTCATGTATGAGAGCTATGTAGAGGCAGTGAAGACGTCATGTATGAGAGCTATGTAGAGGCAGTGAAGACGTCATGTATGAGAGCTATGTAGAGGCAGTGAAGACGTCATGTATGAGAGCTATGTAGAGGCAGTGAAGACGTCATGTATGAGAGCTGTGTAGAGGCAGTGAAGACGTCATGTATGAGAGCTATGCAGAGGCAGTGAAAACGTCATGAATGAGAGCTATGTAGAGGCAGTGAAGACGTCATGTATGAGAGCTATGTAGAGGCAGTGAAGACGTCATGTATGAAAGCTATGTAGAGGCAGTGAAGACGTCATGTATGAGAGCTATGAAGAGGCAGTGAAGACGTCATGAATGAGTGCTATGTAGAGGCAGTGAAGACGTCATGTATGAGAGCTATGTAGAGGCAGTGAAGACGTCATGTATGAGAGCTATGTAGAGGCAGTGAAGACGTCATGTATGAGAGCTATGTAGAGGCAGTGAAGACGTCATGTATGAGAGCTATGCAGAGGCAGTGAAGACGTCATGAATGAGAGCTATGTAGAGGCAGTGAAGACGTCATGTATGAGAGCTATGTAGAGGCAGTGAAGACGTCATGTATGAGAGCTATGTAGAGGCAGTGAAGACGTCATGTATGAGAGCTATGTAGAGGCAGTGAAGACGTCATGTATGAGAGCTATGTAGAGGCAGCGAAGACGTCATGTATGAGAGCTATGTAGAGGCAGTGAAGACGTCATGTATGAGAGCTATGTAGAGGCAGTGAAGACGTCATGTATGAGAGCTATGTAGAGGCAGTGAAGACGTCATGTATGAGAGCTATGCAGAGGCAGTGAAGACGTCATGAATGAGAGCTATGTAGAGGCAGTGAAGACGTCATGTATGAGAGCTATGCAGAGGCAGTGAAGACGTCATGTATGAGAGCTATGCAGAGGCAGTGAAGACGTCATGAATGAGAGCTATGTAGAGGCAGTGAAGACGTCATGTATGAGAGCTATGTAGAGGCAGTGAAGACGTCATGTATGAGAGCTATGTAGAGGCAGTGAAGACGTCATGTATGAGAGCTATGTAGAGGCAGTGAAGACGTCATGTATGAGAGCTATGTAGAGGCAGTGAAGACGTCATGTATGAGAGCTATGTAGAGGCAGTGAAGACGTCATGTATGAGAGCTGTGCAGAGGCAGTGAAGACGTCATGAATGAGAGCTAAGTAGAGGCAGTGAAGACGTCATGTATGAGAGCTATTCAGAGGCAGTGAAGACGTCATGTATGAGAGCTATGTAGAGGCAGTGAAGACGTCATGTATGAGAGCTATGTAGAGGCAGTGAAGACGTCATGTATGAGAGCTATGCAGAGGCAGTGAAGACGTCATGAATGAGAGCTAAGTAGAGGCAGTGGAGACGTCATGTATGAGAGCTATGTAGAGGCAGTGGAGACGTCATGTATGAGAGCTGTGTAGAGGCAGTGAAGACGTCATGTATGAGAGCTATGCAGAGGCAGTGAAGACGTCATGAATGAGGGCTATGTAGAGGCAGTGAAGACGTCATGTATGAGAGCTGTGTAGAGGCAGTGAAGACGTCATGTATGAGAGCTATGTAGAGGCAGTGAAAACGTCATGAATGAGAGCTATGTAGAGGCAGTGAAGACGTCATGTATGAGAGCTGTGTAGAGGCAGTGAAGACGTCATGTATGAGAGCTATGTAGAGGCAGTGAAGACGTCATGTATGAGAGCTATGTGTGTTGTGAATAATATGCAGAGAATTTTGAGAGATTTAGAAAGGCGCTGTTGGGTTACTAAGGGTATATAATTCAGAAGACTAAGGTATTATTAATGTTATTATGGAAATATAGGTAGGATGGAGAGGCATAAGTGGGTTGGGAAGTAGGATGGGTAGGTATTGTCTCGTGAATGGTTGGAAGGAGGAGACAGAAACAGCTTTGATTTACATGGGCTTGATTATTCATCAGGCTTGTGTGAACATGTTAAATAGAAGTGAAAGGAGACGAGTGCGAGCAATGTAACCGAGAATAACCCGTTAGTTGGACACGACTCTTAGAGGATCGATGGGCATTGTCTGTAATTTGAAGGAGGGGCATTTTCTGCACTTTGGAGATGTCTGCACTTTGAAGGAGAGGCAGCTATTGTGTTTAATATCAGTACACTTCTAGAAAGACTACGATTGAATGAATAATGGTGGATATAATTTCTTCTTGGGTCACTCAGCCTGGGTGGGAGATGGCTCCTGAGTTAAAAAAAAATATTTCTCTGTAAACAGATTTATTGTTGATGCTATCTACTCATACGATTTAATATTAATAATCCAGAGCTTAATAATTATATAAAAAGGAGAGTTTTTAAATATAAATAAAAGCTGACTTGCTCATTAATATTATTCATCCATTATTGTGTCTTACGGTATCACTGTTTATCCGTATCATAAAATATTGAAATTTTTCGTATATCAACTTTTTTTCCTATCTACAACTTCTTTCATATATTTCTTACAAGCTCAGAAAGCAACTCCATTACGCTTTCTTTCTCTGGCATAACCACACCATCGCCATATGCCTCAACATTCACCACCACAACAACTACACACTACAAAGAAAACCTCGTTCTGTTCCTACAATCCTTTCTACCACAACAGCTCTTTGCATCTCACACTCTAGGTATCTTCAGTATCTCACTCTCACTGTCCGCTCTCTCCTCAGCGTCGTCAAGAAGAACCTACCTGAGTCTGCAGGTGGTGGTGCCTCCCGGTCAGCCCGTCTTAAGGATAGGGGGCCAGCGAGTCACAAATGAGGTGCTGGGACCCTTTCAAGAGGGAGCCTCACTGGTTATCACCTGCAGCGTGGCAGGCGGGGAGCCTCCCCCAGACCTCGTCTGGATGAGAGAGGACGAGGTAAGTGATGAGGAAAATCTTCCAGAAGGGCTAGAATATTCTGATAGATAGGTGGAGGCTAGAATCTCCTAATGGTGAAGTAGATTACTTTCTTTTAATGGTGAAGGGGTGATATAATGTTTTGATGGGGGAGAGAGACAATTTTCTGATGGTAGTGTACGGTTAGAATCTTCTGATTGATAAAAGGGGCGAGGAATTTCTGATGGTAGAGCACTTCTAGAATCTTCTAATTCAGGTTGGGTTAGAATCTTGTGATCAGAGACTGAAGGCAGAATCTTCCATAGGAAGAGAAGCTGGAATCTTATGACAGAGTAAGATGACTAAAATCTTCTGGTAGCAGAGAGAGACTAGAATCTTCTGATGATGGAATGGGGCTAGAATCTTCTGATGACGGAGTGGGGCTAGAATCTTCTGATGACGGAGTGGGGCTAGAATCTTCTGATGACGGAGTGGGGCTAGAATCATCTGATGACGGAGTGGGGCTAGAATCTTCTGATGACGGAGTGGGGCTAGAATCTACTGATGCTGGAGTGGGGCTAGAATTTACTGATGATGGAGTGGGGCTAGAATTTACTGATGATGGAGTGGGGCTAGAATCTTCTAACGATGGAGTGGGGCTAGAATCTTCTGATGATGGAGTGGGGCTTGAATCTTCTGATGATGGAGTGTGCCTAGAATCTTCTGATGATGGAGTGGGGCTAGAATCTTCTGATGATGGAGTGGGGCTAGAGTCTTCTAATGACGGAGTGGGGCTAGAATCTTCTAACGATGGAGAGGGGCTAGAATCTTCTGATGATGGAGTGGGGCTAGAATCTTCTAACGATGGAGTGGGGCTAGAATCTTCTGATGATGGAGTGGGGCTAGAATCTTCTGATGATGGAGTGGGGCTAGAATCTTCTGATGATGAAGTGGGGCTAGAGTCTTCTGATGACGGAGTGGGGCTAGAGTCTTCTAATGACGGAGTGGGACTAGAATCTTCTAACGATGGAGTGGGGCTAGAATCTTCTGATGATGGAGTGAGGGCTAGAGTCTTCTGCTGATCGAGTGGGGCTAGAATCTTCTGATGATGGAGTGGGGCTAGAATCTTCTAATGACGGAGTGGGGCTAGAATTTTCTGATGATGGAGTGGGGCTAGAATCTTCTGATGATGGAGTGGGGCTAGAGTCTTCTGATGACGGAGTGGGGCTAGAGTCTTCTAATGACGGAGTGGGGATAGAATCTTCTAACGATGGAGTGGGGCTAGAATCTTCTGATGATGGAGTGGGGCTAGAGTGTTCTGATGACGGAGTGGGGCTAGAGTCTTCTAATGACGGAGTGGGGCTAGAATCTTCTGATGACGGAGTGGGGCTAGAATCTTCTGATGACGGAGTGGGGCTAGAATCTTCTGATGACGGAGTGGGGCTAGAATCTTCTGATGACGGAGTGGGGCTAGAATCTTCTGATGACGGAGTGGGGCTAGAATCTTCTGATGACGGAGTGGGGCTAGAATCTTCTGATGACGGAGTGGGGCTAGAATCTTCTGATGACGGAGTGGGGCTAGAATCTTCTGATGACGGAGTGGGGCTAGAATCTTCTGATGACGGAGTGGGGCTAGAATCTTCTGATGGGGGACTGGAGAGTGGGGCTAGAATCTTCTGATGACGGAGTGGGGCTAGAATCTTCTGATGACGGAGTGGGGCTAGAATCTTCTGATGACGGAGTGGGGCTAGAATCTTCTGATGAGGTGGCAAACGGAGTGGGGCTAGAATCTTCTGATGATGGAGTGGGGCTAGAATCTTCTGATGACGGAGTGGGGCTAGAATCTTCTGATGACGGAGTGGGGCTAGAATCTTCTGATGACGGAGTGGGGCTAGAATCTTCTGATGACGGAGTGGGGCTAGAATCTTCTGATGACGGAGTGGGGCTAGAATCTTCTGATGACGGAGTGGGGCTAGAATCTTCTAATGACGGAGTGGGGCTAGAATCTTCTGATGATGGAGTGGGGCTAGAATCTTCTGATGACGGAGTGGGGCTAGAATCTTCTGATGACGGAGTGGGGCTAGAATCTTCTGATGACGGAGTGGGGCTAGAATCTTCTGATGACGGAGTGGGGCTAGATGAATCTATCTGATGACGGAGTGGGGCTAGAATCTTCTGATGACGGAGTGGGGCTAGAATCTTCTGATGACGGATTGGGGCTAGAATCTTCTGATGACGGAGTGGGGCTAGAATCTTCTGATGACGGAGTGGGGCTAGAATCTTCTGATGACGGAGTGGGGCTAGAATCTTCTGATGACGGAGTGGGGCTAGAATCTTCTGATGACGGAGTGGGGCTAGAATCTTCTGAAGGAGAAATGGTAACATTTCGGTTCTAAAGTCCAAAGATACAAATGGATGATCATGCACTGCACTGTATCTAGGTCATCTAATTGTTGTACATCTGTTTACTAGGCAGAATTGTTGCAAATATGTGCTTTTAAGACCATATGGAGAGGGAGCATGGACACGGGGGTCGTCCCACTGCGGCTAAAAGCAACAGACATAGCACCATTCCACAAAGGGGGCAGTAAAGCAATAGCAAAGAACTACAGACCGATGGTGATATCATCAAATATCATAAAAATCTTTGAAAGGGTTCTAAGAAGCAAGATCGACACCCATCTAGATACCCATCAGTTACACAATCCAGGGCAACAGGTTTAAAGCAGGTCGTTCCTGTCTGTCCCAACTACTGGACCACTATGACAAGGTCCTGGATGCTCTAGAAGACAAACAAAGCGCAGATGTAATATACACAGACTTTGCAAAAGCCTTTGACAAGTGTGACCATGGTGTAACAGCGCACAAAATACGAAATAAAGGAATAACAGGAAAAGTTGGTAGATGGATCTGTAATTTCCTAACAAAGAGAACACAAAGAGTAGTAGTAGACAGAGTAAAGTCAGGGACGCTAAAAGTACGATAAGAGACAACACAATAAGTTTCAGGGGCCCAAGACTGTTCAACTGCCTCCCAGCATAAATAAGGGGGATTACCAATAGACCCCTGGCTGTCTTCAAGAAGGCACTGGACAGGTACCTAAAGTCAGTACCTGACCAGCCGAGCTATGGTTCGTACGTCTGGTTGCGTGCGGCCAACAGTAACAGCCTGGTTGATAAGACCCTGATCTACCATGAGGCCGCGGGGGCGTTGACCCCCGAAACCCTCTCCAGGTATACTCTAGGTAGTGCAATATGAAACACATTTTATGGATCTGTCCAATCTCTCAAATTACGTCTAATGCTGTTTTATATCTGCTAATTAACTTCTTACTTCTTGCTTGCCAAAATCATTGGTTCAGGTGATGAAGCAGAGAGTTAAAAATGTCCTACATCCCAGGCCCAGGAAAATACCTTGTTCCCTCCTCTTTCTACCTCCAATACAAAAATGCCCCGTTCATAAATTTAACGTAACAGTCTTTAGGAAGAGCATTTTTATCTTCAGTTTTTGCCTCTGATGAGGCAACAAGTGAAGATAACAAGTGAAGATAGCAAGTGAAGATAACAAGTGAAGATAACAAGTGAAGATAACAAGTGAAGATAACAAGTCCAGTTACCTGGACCTTCCTTATTTTCGGTACAAGCCTTTTTGTGTCCACCAGTTTCCAGAGGTTGCGACATGGCTTTTCATCTTTGTGAGTGGCTCTTTCAATGAACATAAGTACATAAAAAGGAGGAACACTACAACAGGCCTACTGGCCCATTCTTAGTAGGTCCTTATCAAACCCAAACCCACTAACAAAACATAGGACCATAAAACAAGACAGGAAATTACTACGGCGCTTGGGAATCAGTGTGACCCGACCCTCGCCTCAGTTGTTCATCCACTCATCTCTACTCAGTATTTACGTGATGATCGGCTCTCATCAGGTATATCTGTGACTTGATACCGCCCAGTCTGCAGGTGAAACGTCGTCAGTAAAGGACGCCATATAAATGATTTTGTTGATCTTTACTGTCCAGTGAGTGTTCTTGTCATTATTAATGGTGTTCTCTTTATTGTTCTGCTGATGAATTCTGCACTCCTTTAAAAATTTCTGAAACTTTTTTCTAGCTCCCTCCAGCTTTGCCTCGACCTGAGTGTACAGATGCATAAAAAATTGAGAAATCATTCTTAACATTTCAGTAATTTTGCTAAGTAGGTGTTTACTGGACACACTTAAACATACTTCTGACACAGGTCAACTGATTAATGACACAGGTCAACTGACTACAGACACAGGTCAGCTGACCACTGACACAGGTCAAGTGATTACTAACAGGTCAGATGACTACTGATACAGGTCACCTAACTACTGACACAGGTCAACTTGATTCTAGTCACTATTAGCATTACTGGTGCTCCTTCAGAACTCTCCTACTTACAAGAAATATATTATTCTCAGTTCTCTGAGAAAACTCTCTGCCCTTCTAGGCTTCACAAAAGCCATTATATTGAAGTATCCCTTAAGCATAACATTCTATAATTGAATCTTGGTCCTGGCTTTATCTAATGCTCTAATACTCATGGACTGACCTGACCTTTGTCTCCTCTCCTACACCTTTCCTCTATTTTCACTGTCTATCCTGTCTTCTGCTGAGGTGAGTTGTCCCCTGTTGTCCTTTAGTCCAACGTCACTGGGCCACTAGGTCTCTTAAAGTGCTCCTCTGTTCTCCTGCTTTTTATGGACTCCCTCCAATTCTAACACTAATAGATACCGACAAATTGGTTTAGAAAGACACTGGAGTAAACAATAGGACATATTTATTAGAAAATGTGTCGTTCCTGGGAGTTTCATCACTACTAACATACACAGGTTAAAAGATGTGACACATTGTGACCTGAATAATGACATTCGTCAAGTCACCATGTGGAAATAAATGGTATAAAATACCGACACAATGGAAATATAAACACATATGCAGTATAATGTGATCCTTTATTGACTACGTTTCGCCCACACAGTGGGCTTTTTCAAGTCACAAACAGAACTACCTGGGGTG